TGGTGCAAGGCACAAAGGTTTTGATGAGCATCATCCAGTTTGATTATTCATACTTGTGCTTCTGCTTGAATTAAAGTAGGAGTGCTAGAGCCTGTTAAAGCAAAATATTTGAATTGGTAGTGAACTCTCACCTTTACTTGCATCCATTTACTTTTCAAATGAATACCAGATAAGTTAGTGCATTTTATAATCGGCCTGTTTTCCAGCGAGTGCTGTCATTACATACCAATTTCTTTTAGAAGTGCTTCCTAAGAAACATTAAATACTCACAAACAAGGCTCTGTCCGTCACCAGCAGCAATCCGTGAGCAGACCCAGGGCTTCGTGCCCTCCCCGCCTGCCGCGTGCTCACCCGCCTCGTTAAGCCCAGCTCATTACCAGCCCAGCCATGCGGAGCTGCCCCGTGAGTGCCCGGACACTGCTAGCATGGCTGGACCCTGCCTGCCCCTGTGGTTCATGGGGGCTTGAGTCCTTCCCATATGAAAAGTAGTTTTTAATTTTTTCTTTTTTTTTTTTCTTTTTTTTTTTCTTTTTTTTTTAGCCAATATCACCACCAGGACCCCAGCCTGAGGACGGGATGTCTGAGGGAGCCGACCTTTGAGTGTAATCTCCTGCTTTGCAGCATCACCAATGTTACCCTGCTCTGGTGCATGCCATGAAGGGATGGAGATTGCTTCCAGAGGGGAAAAGTGGTGGGGAAGGACAGCACTTGGCACAGCTCTCGGGTGCTGGGTTGCAAATAATGGTCACTGCATAGAAAAGAACAAGGAGAGCCAAGGCAAGACTAAAAGAGGTGGCGAGATCTGTCCCAGGACACCTCAACAAGGACCTGATGCCAATCGGCCTGAAAATGCTGGCGATTTTGCCGTTTGCAGAAATGAGAGCAAAACTGGCCAGATATTTGCTAATTGTGAAGTAAGAAGACACAACAAGGTTTTAAAACTGAGCCTTTTATAAAGTAAACATATTTTAAGATAACTCAGTCTTCCTTTAAGAAAAAAAAAAAAAAAAAAAAAAAGAAAATCAGAGGTGAGATTTCAGGTTGCTCACATGCAAATACTGGCTTTGGATAATGAAGACGAAAGTGTCCTGGAAGTTCAGTTTTACGTGTGTGGGTGTGTGCAACAAGGGCTAAAAGATTGTGCCAATTTACCAGCAGTGTAACTCAGCCCTCAGCGAAAAGTTTGAGAGGCAGCCCCAGACAGGTGATTCATTTAGCGTTCTCAGTGCATTCAGGGAGTATGCACACCTCCAAAAAGACCTTTGGCACCTATTGTTCCTGCTCATTGTTTTCCATGTACACCGTGAATCTGAAGCCTCTGGTGGAAACCAGAACACAGCCTTTTGGCTTACTTGGGCCCCATGTCACCTTGGCTCCCTGCAGCTGTGGGGGATGCTTTACCCTGTCTCACTAAGTCATTCTGTAAAATCGAGGGGGAAAAATCAATGCAACTACACAGGGAAAACAAACAAACCTCCGTTTGGGCAATTTTAAAGCAGTCCATCACAAGCTAAGGAAGGCCAGGTTATTTAAATGGCAGAGGATGCTGAATGAATGCATGCCTTTGTCTCTGCTGTTTCTTCCAGGGTGATCCGGATTAAAACTGTGCTGCCAGGGTTAATTTTGAGCTGCTTCCCTTTTAAAAATGTTGTTCTCCTCTCCTCTCCTCTCCTCTCCTCTCCTCTCCTCTCCTCTCCTCTCCTCTCCTCTCCTCTCCTCTCCTCTCCTCTCCTCTCCTCTCCTCTCCTCTCCAAACCAAACCAAACCAAACCAAACCAACCAACCAAACCAAACCAAACCAAACCAAACCAAACCAAACCAAACCAAACCAAACCAAAGGCAGTGGTGAAGGAGTGAACACCTGCATCTCCCAGTCCGGAGACCAGGCCTGGTGACCTCTCGCAGCCCCACCAGTCCTGATGATGCTGTGCTGAGGCTCTGGGTGCTGTGAGATGCTGAGCCTGCCCACAGTACCCAGCAGGTCCCTGTGGATGGGAAAGCAGGGCAAGACGGGAAAATCTTTGGGATGGCACGGCCGTGGGAAGGAGCTCACTCACCCTCACCACCCATGTGCATGTGGAGCTGGGGAAAGCCCAGGGATCTCTCCCTTGGGGCATGCTGCTCTGCTTTATTCATCTCTACACACTTTGTTTTATTCTCCCCTCCCTGTTTCTTCAGCTGCTTCTTCCCTTCCCAGCAGATAAAAGCCCTGCTCTCTTTTTAGGGTCATCCTTGTCATCCAGAAGCGAAGTCCCCCAGGTTGCCTGCTGCGTGTGTGTGGGCAATCACAAATTTGTGGTGATGCTGAGGCCCTGGAGGGAGAAAGGGGAGCACATTTCTGCCACAAACCACTGCTTTCAGGGATCATTCCACTCGAGTGGCTAAGAAGAAAACTGCGCTGATAGAAACTATTTTATAATAGTTGAGAACTTTATAACAATGCAGTACCAGCTGAGCTGATTTATTCTAATATGCCAGCATGGGGAATTGTTATTCACCAAAGCAGAAAATGGAGCTGGCTTTTCAAAGTGTTTAAAATCAAGCAGCTCTGAAGTCACCATCCGATTATTTATGTAATCTTTTGGTGGCCAGGCAATCACATTTCATTATGGGCAGTGCTACTCTGCAAATCAAATATTGCGTATTATCAAAACAACGCTGCGCCCCTGCTGGCACGGTGTGGATGCTCAGCGCTTCACATCCTGTGGCTGCTCCCGAAGGCACAGCGTCCTCTCTCTTGCATGGGGGGTGACAGCATTGGTGGCATCAGGGCCAGCGTGAGGATGTCATCTGATGCAGGAGGGTGGGAAGGTGATGCCTCCTCTTCTGCCCCACCAGCCGCATTAAAGTTTAACCCCACTTATCAGCTGCCTGCCAGGAAGCACCGGCTGATGGCTGTAAAGGTGCTGGTGCTCAGTAGGGAGACTGAGAGTGATGGGAGGGTGAGCAGGGAGAGGTGTAAGCACGGTAGTCTGTCTGGCAGTGAGAAGAATGCCATATGCTATGGATTTGCTCAGAAATTAGGCACATCTGCCCAGGCTTGCTCTGGGAAGGAGGATGCGAAGGGCTGTTTGACGAGGAGGGCTGGCAGCACTACCAGGGTGAGGGACGGGGTGGCCACGGGTGACAGTGGCCACTGGGCAGGGCTGTCTGTCTTCTGCTCCATGCCACCAAGGAACCATGCAGGGGAGGAGCTGCAGCCCCACACACAGGGGCCGGAGGTCAGCACCCTGCTCATGTATCCGTGCCTGTGTGCTCATGCAGCTGCCGCACACACGCACCCATGCCCTCACCCTTCCAGTGCCATCGGTGTGTGGCAGGTGTGCATACAGCCCAATGCTGCTGGCATGCTAGGGAACACCACGTGCAACTTGGGAGCGTGTGTGTTTTTTCTCAGACTTTTCACCCCAGTGGAGGTACAAGAGAGGGCAGCAAACACAAAGGCGCCAGCAAAAAGGAGATGCTCTGCTAAGAGAGGGGCAGAGCTGGGGCAGCTCCTGCCTGCAGAGCAATTTTCTGGGAGGCACTTTTAGTGCTCACCTCTGTTAGGTGCCACATTGGGCATCCCCGGGGATGAGGGATGCCCAGGGCCCACCACAGCCCCCTCTCCCCTGAGCCACAGGTGCTGCCCAGCCTGGAGCAGGCTGGGACATGGGGAGCACGGGCAGAGAAAACCTCTCAAATGCACAGAGGGGCCAGCTGCAGGCAGCACAAGAGGAGGTAGCAGCAGTGACCAGCCACTGGTTCAGAGCAGCTTTATTTCCCTGAAGCAGAACTGAGGGGGGAGAAGTGATCCAGAGCCTGAGTGACTTCTCCATCTCTTGCCCCAGTTATCTTGAAGGGAAAGGACAGGATTTACAAGCAAGCCTGAGTATTGTGCTGATGTTGCTACCAAAAAAAAAAAAAAAAACAAAAAAACAGGTGAGAAATGCTGTCAGGGAGAGAAGAGAGGGCTGATGAGTGCACTGCTACGGGCTGAGGGGTATCAGCAGGGAGCCCTGGGAGCACTGCTGGCAGCATTTCAGGTTTGCCGTGGGGTGTTCTGGTGCCTGATCGCCCCGAAGTGCTCCCTGCCCAGGCTGGGTGTAATCCTGGGTCCTCACCACAGCTCATCTGGTAGGTGCCATTCTGCGGAACAATGTTTTTCAGTTACTGGACACCAGCTCACCCGCACGCTCAGCAGCTGTCATTGCACAGGCTTTGTCATTCCGCTTTCCTCAGGGTACCTCGTATGGCTGAAGTTGGTTTCTGCGATAAATGGGCTGGGTTCAAAACTATGACTTCTCTGAACTTACTAACCTTACACGAAGGGGAAGGATTCCAAGAGCAATGGATAAAATTCAATTAACTGAGATGACAGAAAATAATCTACTAAGCGAATACATCAGGCAATTGGGGGCTTTCATACCTTTCAAAAAGGAAATAACCTATTTCTTTCCTTGTTATCTAATGACACAGGAGTTTATTTCTCTAGAAGCAGTTACAAATCTACCTAATGGGGCCTAAACACTGTTGCCAGGCAATTAGGGTTTTTATTGTGTGGCTAATTCTTTCATTTCCGTAGCTGGTGATTGTCATTACCAAACGCCACGGCTTGCAAGCTGCTCCCTCGTCAGAGAGCCTGTGTTTGCCTGTCTGTCTGCATGTCTGTCTGTCTGCATGTCTGCATGTAGGCACACACACTCGTGTGTTTGTATACATATACGTGTCCGTGGTGTACTGGGAGCAGGCTCTGGCTGAAGCACGCTATTCAGCCTTTCAAGGGGAGCTGTTCCAGCTGCAAACGGGCGTTTTGCTGCCGAAATGCTCCCCCCTGAAGCAGGCAGAGCCCCAGAAAGATAAGGTTTTCAGGGGGGTGCCAGTTAGATGGCAACTCAGTCAGCAAGTGGGTGAAATCATGGCAGGGAGCACGGGATGGGTGGCACGGCGCCTGCCAGTGCCTGATGATCAGCGTGGGATCTGGGCAGCCTCTGCCAGGTGCTCTTAGGAGACCTGGGGTTGTGCAGCTGTGGGGATGGCTGCAGGAAAGATGGTGGAGGAGGCAAACTGGAGGCTGGGGAGCTCCCACTCAGGTGGGAATTCAGCCTCACGGGAGCACCAGCAGGTGTTAACCATGAGGTTATTTAACACTCCTTGACAGGCTGTCTGGGTTTGAGCAGCTGGGCCCCACACAAGGTATGGGAGTAAGTGCTTAGGGTTTTGCTGGGGTGCGTGTGCAGCCCCCAGGAACTGGTGTTGGGAGTGCTGTGGGTTTTGGGGCTCTGGCTGTGCACTGGTGACAGCAGGGAGCTTGCTTTCCTGGGAGCCAGTGGGCTTAAAAATAATAATCTTGAAACTCTTGAACTCTTGGGCCATATTTTTTGCTTGCTGCCTGCGTAGCTGTACAGGACTGTCACCCATGCATGTGTATTTATTTATTTATTTATTTATTTATTATTTATTTATTTATTTATTTATTTATTTATTGTGTAGGAGAGCTGAGTTTCCCAGGAAGCCCTGTAGTGGCAGCAGGGGATTTGGGGAGAGCCCACGGGTCCCTAGGATGCACCTCAAAAATGTCAGGGAAGAGGAGACAGGGCAGGGAGGGGTTTTTGGAGCTCGGGGCCTGAGCTACTGACAAAGATGATTGGAAATAATCCTCTAAGTCGGTATTAGGGTTGCACCTCCTTTGTAAATCTTTATTTAGGAGAAGTCTCCTTTTCCATGCTGTGGGCTGTAGCAGCTCCTTTAGAAAGTAAATGCATAGGACTGTTAAGTCGGCGGATTATATGGCCATCACCCATGCATACTGAGTCTGCTTAGCCTAAACCTTCCTGAAGCCTTCATTAAAAAATGAGTATCAATGTTCAGTGCATCTGCAACCTGCCAGCCTGGGCTGCCCACAGGTGGGGCCATTGAGCATCCTTCTGTCTGTCTGTTCCTGAGCACTCAGGGGTGATGGTTGCAGGGGTTCAGGGCCAACCTGCACTTGGCCCCAAAACTGACTGTGGGGTGAAACTATGCCCTGGGGGCCCCAGCTGCCACCAGCTGTCCTGCACAGGCAGGGCAGTGAAGATCAGGTGTGTGCAGCATCCCACAGCTTCCACACAGTGCTTGCAGTTGCATTATCAACTGCAACACTTTAATATGCCCTGGTAAACTAAGAGTGCGCTTAATTTCTTATCAAGCTTTTTTTTTTTTTTTTTTTTTTTTTTAATCGGGGGACTTTCTTTTTGTGAGAATTCTTGTTTTGTGTTCTTTTGTTGTGTCAGTTTGCTGATAAAAGTACACAGTGGATTGCATTATGCTGTTAATTTTCCTTTTGGTATGCTTGCTACAATGACTTATTTTGTGTCTGATATATTATACAATTTTTGTAAGCTGATTTTAAATACGTTACTGCGCAAACTCTTTTTACAGCCTGTGTGGCTTTTGATTATGAATGAGTGCAGAGATACACGCAGGAGTATTATTTATATAAAATATATAAGCAGGAAGAATCTTCATAAATCACAAAATGCTATTATCCCAGGGGTTCATGACAGCCATATCTTTTTATACGGAAAACCAGAATACATTAAACAACACACACATTTGAAAGGGACGTTTCAAAAACTGTACAATTGCTCTATTTATTCAATTTGTTTATCACATAGCATTTAATATCTAAAGCCTGTTTTACAAAAAATAAATCTTGAAATTAAGATTTAAGTAAAAATTTATTGAGTGAAGCTACCGTATCTGCCTGTGGTGGGGGTATGTTTTATGGTCCGAGGAATATGGAAATAAACAAAGCAAGCCTCAGACGCGCAGGATTTAGCTGGAGCTATCTGAAATAAGTTGTCAGGCAGAGCCCTGTGCCCATGGGGTGTATCCATGCCTGCTGTAGTGCTGGGATGGGGGTCCTGAGTGGAGCATCGCCCCACTGCCACCCTGCATCCCTGGGTCTGGGACAGCAAAACCTGGCTTTGGCTGCACTAATCAATAGCTGGGCCTCCCAGTTTGCTATTGCATTTAATTAAATAAATTTACCTTTTGAAGTCAAATCCATTGCAAGCAATTTAGATTCTGCTGTATTGCAATGTTTTTTGAGGTTACTAGTGCTTTTAACCACTGTCTAAAGTGCATACAGTGTTAATTAGCATATTTAGGATTAAGTAGATTTACCATGCAGTAATCATTCTCTAATTCACTAAGAACTATCTCTGGTGAATAGTGGACATTAATGACAGTTGCAAGAGCTTAGATATTACATAATCACTAATTACATTCTGCACAATTAGCGGAGACTCCTCAATGTGAATCGCTAATGGCTGATTGGTGTCAGGCGCCTGCTCGGCTGCGAAGGGACACAAACTGACTGTGGGGTGGCTCAGCACCCGCGGCCTCGCAGGTCCTGGGCTCTGCAGGGCAGTGCCTGGGGATGACGAGCACCCTGCTGCTGCTTGGGTTGCCCGGCTTCTTCACCACTACCTGGGGAAATAAAGATGAGTTTTGTGCACTACTGTGTTTAGCAGTTCCTTGCTTCTAATAATTTTCTCAGACAAACTAGGGAAGGCTTCATGATAAAATGCAGCATGATAAAACTGACTTATTGAGGGGAAGGATCTCTCTTATTAGTTAAGCAAGACAAAGGCTCAGGCAAGAGTGAGGTGTCTGTTATTCATCACCAGTTTTTAAAAGGGGAAAAAAATCTTCGGATTGAATTGTAAGGATGTTTGGATCAGACCCATAGTCACTTGAAAGTAGAATTCAGCCTCCCGCATTTGTCTGATTAAAATAAGGCTGTATGATTAAATAGTTGTTTCCAATTGCTTTGGAAGAATACCGAACTGGAAAGCAGCATTGGGCCCCTCTCCCTTCAGGTGTTAGGTGTTTTTAAATTAAGATTGCATGTGGTCTTAAAAGGCATTGTCAGAGCAAAAGCAATTTAACAAAAGGCAATGTATCTGGCAACTACTCTTCTGCCTGCCAAGTGCTCTTCTCAGCGAGTGCATTGTAGGGATGGCAGATTACATCTTCTGAATATTTTTGTCCGTTGCTTGGTTCATTTTCATAATAATAACTTGCATCCTTCTCTATCCTTTCATGTTGAAGGGTTGCAAACTATTACACAAACAGACCCGCTCCTGAAATGCTGCCACCTCTGAGGGAAAAGACAGCAGCTTTCGGTGGTGGGCAGAGATGCCGGGGGACTGGGAAGCAGCAGAGCTGATGAGAGGGATGCAGGGGGCATCCAGTGCCTTGGCTGTGTGCGGTGTCACCTATGGAGCACAGTCATTAAGATTTAAGGCAGAGACCTGCTGCCTTCCTGGCATGTCCCTGAACCTTTTTTTTTTTTTTTCTCCCACTCACTTGTCAGCACCATGTGCTGCTGGTGGAGAAACCTGCAAAGGGGGTGAGCGGTCAGCAGATTCTGGGGTGCTGCCTGGGCTTTACAGCAGGAAAATAAATAAAATAAAAAATCCAAAGCATAAGTAGACCCCATCTTTCATTCTGTGTGTGAGCTGTGCTGGGTCAGTGGGAATGCAGACTGGCATTGCAGTGGTGTCCAAGCCGCACCTCCCCACGCCAGCCAGAAATAGCTCTGAAAGAGCCTCTGTTCATAGTCTTTTTAGAAATATATACATATTGTTTCTCTGGCTTCAGAATGGCTAGCTGCTTATTTGGGATAATGCGTGTCACTGCTCACATGCCATAGGTAGCTCATTGCTAAATGAGAGCTGCTGCGGAGCCCCCCGAGCACACTGGGCTCTGTGCTGCCACCCCAGCCCAGTGCAGCAAGGTGGGTTTGTGAGGCCCTGAAGCACCTCGCAGTGCTCCTCACCTGAATTTCTAGCCACTTGTCCTGGAGTCTGAAAACAGTGGCCCTGAAGCGTCTTGCCTAGAAGCCCTGGCGTTAGCCTGCTGGGGGCTGTGATGCTCAGCGGGCAGGCACTAATCCCTCCCCAGCCAGCAGCTGCGGAGGCCCAGCTGCTGGAAAATGACTTTGGGAGTGCTGGGTTTAGCACTGGGCCCTTCGAAAGCCTGCTTTCTGCGTGGCTGGCGTGTTTTCCCCTCTTTCCGCTGCCTTCTGCCCCGCGTGGTGTGCAGATCTGGGCACGGGGCAGCATTTACATAAGTGAGGCTGGTGAAAGCAGGTGCTATTCCTTACATTAGCAGCAGAACATTTAAATCTTAATGACCGGCATTGTTATCTAAAAGACAGTGTTTTTCCTGCTGAGAAACTGCATTAGATTGAAGAAACAGAGCTCATTTCCATTCACTCAGCAGTCTCTCTAGAAATGACATGCAGTGCTTGAAACTGTTTATTTCCAAATTCAGGCCTCCTCCGCATCAGTCATCAGCTTCAATTACCAGTTTTCCGGAGCCGAGCCATCAGGCAGTCTGACACGAGGGTCCAACCTAATTCCCACCTTCTCCAAAGTCAAGAGCATAATGTGCAGATGAAAAGGTGGAAAATAGCCTGGACTTCATTAGCATGCAGCGCCCGGCTGTTCATTTGCTTGCTGCGAATGGAAGTTCTGACACTCGGCGCCTTCTGCAATATGAGAAAAGTCCTCTTCAGAGTATGTGATGTCCTTACCCGCGAGGAAAGGTCATCAAAAAGGCAGGCTCTGACCTCGCTCCCTGCTCTTCATGACTAGTTTATTGATTCCAGGAACACCTCATTACATGCTGGATCAACATATTATTGCCATGTTCAGCGACTGAATTGTTTACAAGTGTCTTTATAACCAGCAAAAGCCTTCCGGATGATACATGACTACACTCATTTGGATGTGACCTGCCAATTATGTGTTATCCGATATGTTGCTGTGTGTCTTGATCCCTGACCAGGCCCGCTGCCCTGCATCAGCGCAGTCCCATTTACTACTTCTTTCTAACCGCTCTTTGGGAAAGTGTCCATTAGCCTGTCAGTGTGTAAATTTTTTTTTTTTTTTTACCTCTGCTACAGGAAATCTGAGCGTTATTGCTCTGTCATTTGCTATGCATGAGGTTCATAATCAGTTGGGGGAAGAATTTTTTTATGGCATTGTCTGATAACCTACACGATTTGCAGTCAGCGTGCATGGTGGGGAGTGTGGCTGGCTCCAAGCTGCACGCAGCCCTGCCGGAGAGACCTGTCATATTTTATTCAGGCACGAGCACTGCCAGGCCAGTGATTTATTCACAGGAGGGAAGGCAGAAGCAAATGCCCCCTCCTTCCCAGCCTCTCTCTTCCCTGGCTCTAAAGGTTCAATAACTTACCACCTAGTGCATGTATTTTTCTCTTCTACATATTTTTCTGTGGTTTGCATTATCATTTGCCAAATATATTGTGATACATTATTTATCTGTGGTCTTCAGCTGGGTGACTTTGTGTAGTTCACGCACACACTGACACAAGAATTTCAAAAACAAATCACAGGGCATGACTAGTCTTTTAATCGCTCATTACACACACTTCTATAGCTCAATTTAAAAAAAAAAAAAGTGGAAAAGCAACTCGATCAGAAAGTCCATAAAGAGAGATTGCTCCAAAAAGAGCCACTGAGAAAGCTGCTTAAATGACTCCATTTGCTGCTCCCCACCTTTAGTGATGATTCTTCTGATGGCGCCTGGAGGGTGCAGAGCCAGTCAGAGACATAGGGGAAGGAGGTGGGGGTCCTGAACTGTGCTGGCCCTTAGGGTCACCTCTGCTTTGAGGCTCCAAGGGAGAAATGTGGCTCCAGGGATGTGCCTGGGTGGTGCTGGAGGAAAGGTCGGGGCACCAGATACCAGCCATTTCTGACCACTGGAGATGTTTTCTCTTGGTGCTGGATTTCCATGTGCAGCCAGGAGTGAACGCAGTGGGACTGGTGTGTGTGGGAGCAGCCAGTAGCACAGCCCCAGGGGTTGTGGGGAGGGATGTGAGCGGAGCACCCTGAGATCTGGGGGTGTCTTGCTGTGGGAGAGGTGGAGGGGAGCACCGTGAGCCCTGGGCTTGGTGAGCACCAGGTGTTATTTGTCATAAGTGTAATTATGTGGGAGGGGAGAGCCCAGCACCCTCCAATAAACTGTCAGTGTTGGTGGGGTGGACTTGGCTGGTGGAGGGTCTCCTGCCCTCCTCTGGTGGGCTGGGTACTCTGCTGGCCCTGCTGAAGAAGGGGTTGCAGAGTCACTGTGAACCTTTGCCAAGGAAGCAATGTGGGCACTACAGCTCTTAGAAAGTGCTTTAACAGCAGTGAGGGGAACATTTAAATCTGTCTCTGTGTGGAGAAGATACTGAAGAGGGAGCTCAGTGCTCTGCAAAGGAGCCGTTGTGTGTTTGTCTGCCTGGGGATGCTCTCCTGAACCAGACCCACATTGACCTTAAATTGGTTGTTCTTTAATCCCATGCCGAATGGATGAGGGAGAGGCAATGTGTGCCTGAGGCATCCTGTCCCACCTCTGCAGTAATGATGGGTACTGGTTTAAAACAAAAACAACAAACAAAAATCCACAGCAGCACATGAAGCTGTTTGCCAGCTTATTTATTTTCTATCTGTGGTTTGCAGATGGCTTTCTGTAGAGCTGTTTCCTATTCGAATTAGCTGTGGGCAGCAGCTGCGATGGGGCATGGCCGAGCAGCAGGGAGAGGCTGGTTTGTGCTTGGCCACCTCAACCCGGGGAGACCTGGGGTGCCTGCGGCAAGGGGGGACCCCGCGCGGGGCAGGTGGCGCCTCCGCAGGGCTTTGTGGCCTGGCTGGAATGCGACACAATCTGTGCACGTGTAGCGCTGCCTGCTCAGAGCTCTGCAAACATTAATTAAGTTGCCTAACACCCGCTGGCAAGTGTTGGTGCTGAAATCCTCTCCCTGTGGTTAAGTTCAGGGACCAAAGGGGCTTAAGAGCTTCAAGGGTGAGCTGATGGGAGCAAGGAGGCAGGGTCTCGAGTGCCCTGCCTCGTTGTATCTTCCTGCTTTTAAAAAGCACCATGCCAGGCCTGGGCTCCCTTGGAGCTGCCCCTGCTGCCAGAGGCGTGGGGCAGGCAGGGGTGTCCCGTGGCAGGCTCTGTTCGGGGCTGGGTCCTGGCGGGGACCTGGGCTGCTGCTGCCCAGAGGCATTGGGGGTGACCAGCAGCTGTGTTATCATTGCCTGCAGTGGCAAACCAAGGGGTTTGTGCTTTCAGAGGCACTGGGGCTGCTCATGCAAAGCACAGATGGAAAGCAGGGCACAGCTGGAGCTGGGGACGTGCCTGCACGCACCACATCCCCCTTGACCATGTGGGAGCAGCACCTGGTGGCTTTGGGCAGGCAGCGTGTGGGTGAAGCCCAGGGGCGCTGTGCGGAGGTGACGGGGGAGGTGGGAGCAGCAGAGCCGGGTGGGGGGCGTGAGTCCCTGGCTGCAGGCGGGGCCAGGAATGCTCTTCTTCCTCACAACAGCCCAAAGTGTTCAGAGTTTGGGGTTTATCCAGGCCCGCCTTAACAAGGGGTCATTTAGTTTCCCAAAGAAAAAATGGGGGTTGCATTCGGGTGCAAAACTGATGTGTTTTTATTAGAAATGGAGCAAAATATAATCTCAGGTCAGAGCAGCACCAGGCTCTGGAGATAGCACAGCGGATTGATCTGCATCTGAATTTTGGAAAGGAGAGAGAAAAGAGCCCATTTACCTGCAAATCCCTGGGCCTTTGCAGCCCCGAAGCTGCAGGTGTTGAATATGCAGGGCTCTGGTTCCCCATTGTGAGCTCTGGGTTTTATGCTGGTGTGACTGCTGAATCCCGTGTTGCAATCGGGTAATGCCATGCCCCAGCGAGGGCTGTCAGTGGCAGGAATTGAGTCTGCAACCTCTGAATCTTAATGGAGGGTCTCTGTGGCCAGTGCCGGGTGCTGCCCCTCAGTGGCATCCCAGCTTGCAGCCCCCTCCCGATGGCCAGGCCAGCGCTGCCTCGCGTCGCGTCGCCTCTGCTGGGTGAGCCTGCAGGGCTTTATTGAGTCCCAGGCACTCATCCCCATTTGGCACTTGATCCTTGTGTTTCCATTGATGTCATTATTCCTGGATTCCTATTCATCGCGTAAATTTTCTCTTTAGAAGGGAGAGAAAAACCAACTAATCTTCATGACGGCAAACACAAAACTTGCATGACTATAGAGGAGCATTAACCTTCCCTTTACCCTGGAGAACTTCATAATCTTTTAAAAACCACCTTTTTATTAATTTGGAGTGATGCTTAGTGCCTGGTGGTAGTGAGTGGCAGCGATATCGCTAGTGGACCCTTGGCAAATTTTGGTGTGGTTTTGCAGCTGCTTGGCACTGCAGACGCATGGTTGAACCAGCCCTGGTGCTGCCCGGGGTGTAAGCTGGGGGCGTGCAGGAGGTGCCGGTGCTGCCGGGGGTGTGGAGGGCCTCCACCCGCATTGTGTTTCTGTGCTGCACCTGTGGCAGGCTCTGGAGAGGCGAGTCGGTGTGCAGCCCTCCCAAGGAGATGGGGACTCGGCACGGCCTCCTGTGGGGTCAAGCTGGGGGCAGCTCCACACCTCAGCACACATTACCCCTGCTAGCCCCAGCTCCCGGCCTGCCGAAGCAAGCCAAGGATCCTCGCTTTGTGCCTGGCTCCTGGAAGACAGGGGTGATGCTGCCAGGCCAGGTTTGTAAAAAAGTGGCTGTGCCTTGAAACCGCAGTGTCAGGACGCCCCATGGCACTGCCCCTCGCCACAGCCCCCGTTAGCAGAGGCATGTTGGATTTATTACAGCGTTCAGGGTACAAATTTAATTTTCCTTCTCATTGCACTCCAACAGAGTAATTGGACGTATAGCCCAGGACTGGGACAAGGGCAGTTATTTGTCTGGCAAACACAATTAGACGGGAGCTCTGAGAGGCAGTTTGGGAACTGCATTTCCCGGCCACATCTCACTCTGCCACGAGCCACCTGTGCCTGCAGCATGTGTTGGAAACGGGCTTTCTGCAGGCAAGCTTGGCTGGTGCGTGGGGCACAGTTCTTGCCGAAACCAAAGCTGGGGGATTTGGAGGATTTGGGGGCAGCAAGCACCCAGCTGTTGTTGCTGTTGTCCGCTGAGCAGGTCTCGGTGTGGAGCTGGGCATTCGCAGCTCTGCGCTGAAGAATGTTTGCCAGTATGTACGGATCGATGCTGCATACCCTCATTAAAGTGCGAGGACATCGAGCCTAGCGCTTCTTATCGAGACTACTCAAAACTTCGATGTAGTTTTCAATTGCTTCAAGCGCTTTTGCTGCAAGTGTTACATTAAGCAGAGAAAGGAATGGTTCTGTACATTCAATTTAGACCTGTGAATACAAGAGATGGAACAGCAATTTGAAATACAGCGTGGCTGCCTTGCTGGGAAGCCAATTTCTTTAAAAGACCAACCGTGTGGTGGGGACGGATCCTGCAGCAGTGCTAGCACCTGCCTCTGAGCTGGGGGCTCCTCACACTGAAAATGAAGGTGGCGTATTGCCACACACTGGAACAAATTAGCCCTTCCATTCATCTTCATTATCCACGCAGTTTCACTGGATCTGAGCTCACTACAAGTGGATTCCCAATATCTATGTAAATCTCTCTCTTTCTACACGTATCCATTCACACTTATTAATACCTATCAGAAGCAACGCTAAAAACACAAGCCATGCAGAAGAGGAAATTAGCAAAGACCATCCGTGTCTGCGCAAGGTTATCATCCCGATTACACAGCAGAGAGGGGATTGTTGGGGTATTACCCCTATAATTATTGCTGTTGGTTGTATATTAAATGTGTGCATTTAAAAATAAGTCAGGCAAGTCTGGTGCCACTGCCGTGGTGTCGGAAGCTGCAGTGGTTGGCGAATGTGGCGATGGGCTTCCAAACCCGTGCTGGGGGGAGGAAGGAGCTGCTTTGGTTTTGCAAGGCTGGATTTCCTCTGGAAAGCAAAGGTACAAGTCAGGCTGCCCTTGCTGAGTTGCAAGAGGGGTTCAGGAGGCTGCTCTCAGCCTCCCTCCCTTTGAAGCTGGGGCAAGGGAAAGTGGGAATTTCCAAAAACAAGCATTGCCCCTTTGCAGCTTGTGCTGCAGGGAAGGAGGCAGCTGAGGAGCAGAGATCTGAGCTGCCCTGCAGCCTGAACGATTAACCGCCGTTTGTGTGGGCACCAATGATGCTGCCCATAGAGCCTGACACAGACCGAGCAGGGATGTAAACCTTGAGCCCCAAAGGTGCTGGCAGGGTCCGTGGCCCCGCGGCAGCTCCATGCAAGAGGCGCGTCACCCAGGCTGCAGCTCTGCACATGCAACCCCACTCCTGCAGCCCAGGCAAAAATTGTCTGAAACTGGGGGGGGGGGGGGGGGGGGGGGGGGAGTTTTTATTAATTACCAGTAATTACTTATTTTGCATACTGTTATTGATGCCTTTTTGTTGCAAGAAGCTGATTATATGTAAAAGATAAGGACGAAAAATGTCCGTCCAGGCATCTAAATCACGGGAGCAAGGCTACAAAGCTCTGACCACACGTAGCAGGCCTTGCCAAGTGTTTCAAAACTGAATAGTCATTGGGTTGGCAGATAATTCAGAAACTATTTGTATGAGCTGTTTATCAAATTATTAACTGCACAGATGTTGTTTGGTTGAAGAGCAGCTGAACCTTCTCTTTGCCAGCCGTGAAGACAAAGGTCTGCAGGAATAATTGGAGATGTGCATGGAATATTAAATTAATTTACTGCTCTTAATTCTTATGCAAATCCTGACCTCTGATAGAGCCTATCAATTACCCTGCACATAGGGAAAAGAAAGGAGAACAGTTTCTTTCTTTTCTCCCCCCCCCTTTTCTTTTTCTTTTTTTTTTCCCTGTTGTTCTTCCTTTTTTTTTTTGTTTCTTTTTTCATTTTGAAAAGGAACTTGGAAAAGGAAATATTCAGGGGAAGAAAAAAAAAAAGCCATTTGTGGGAGAAGCAAAGAGCTGGGATTATTTAATTGAGTCTCCTGGTTGCAGCGATGTCCTCGGGGAGTACGGGTGCAGTTTTTAAAATAATGGGGGGAGTCGGGGAAGCCTGGGAATGGAGGCCAGGGCCAGGCCAAAATAGCTCCACATGTGTGTGTCAGGAAGGCATGGGGGGGACCGAGGCTCAGCCGTGGTTTGAGGGGGATATGGCCCTGCTCTGGCTAGATTTGGGGGCTGGCTGGAGCTTGGGTCTGCCACGAGAGCAGTCCCGGTGCTTGCCACCACTACCAGGGTCTGGGTTTGGGGTCGGGGTGGGCGCCTTCGCCCCATGAGGGCTTTGCGCCATGGGGAGCACGGCCGCCTCTGTCGGTAATTAACAGCAAAGAAGAAAGGCAATTTGTTGCTAAGTCTATTGTGAAATCCCAGGTAAAATGAAGTACAATTTAATTGGTCCTCGTTAAAAAGAGCTATTTTTCTAATATGGAGAAAAGGCCTCGTCTTCGGCACTTTTTTTAATTGGGGTTGTGTATGCACTGTTTAAAAAAGACTCCGGTCCTTATTCTTTCATCATATTTTCTAATAAGGATAAATAAATAGGATGAATAATGCGATCGGTCTATCCCTCGACCTCTGAAAGACCTCAGCAGCGAAATGATGTTTCAAGCTCCTTTCGTCACATCCAATATGCGCTGCCTTTCAGCTCTCCGCAGCCCAAACAAAAGCCATACAACAATATCAATTAATCATGCAGCAGGCAAACAAGGAGATTTATTCCACTACAAATAGCCTCACAGAGAGACGCTGAATGGGTTTGATTAGCATGAGAAAAGAGGAGCAAAACTCCACAGTTCAACAGCTAAAGAGCAATTTGATGGGGCTGGGATTGGGAAATTACTTGATTAGCGGCTGGCGGAGCACAACACGCTCAGGACGCCGCGAGTCGCAGCCCCGCCGCCGCCAGGGGACGGAGCCCGCGGGGCCGGGCACGGGGCAGGGAAAAAGGGGCCGGGGCCGCCGCGGGGAAGCCCCCGCTCGGCTCGCGGGTGGCTCAGCTCCACGGGGAATGAGGCTGAAACCGCTTCTGTTTTCGGAAAATGATAATAAAGCGGCTTCAAGGCTGGAAGAAAACAAACTAAAGTAAACTAAAAAAAAAAAAAAAAAAAAAAAAAAAAAGGGAAAAAAAAAAAAAAAGGGGGAAAAAAAAAAAAAAAAGGCCAGACCCCAGCACCCTCCTGCCGGCCTGCGCGGGGCTCCGCCAGGTTCCCCCGTGCCGCCGGGCAGAGGCGCCCCCTGGCCGCCCCCCGACACTCCAAGTCCCAGCCCCCCCCGCCAAGCAGCAGCCGGGGGCGGCCCTGCCGGCCCAAAGGAGTAAACCAAGCATTTAAAAAAACGGGGCAAAAAAAAAAAAAAAATGAGGAAGGGGCAGCGGGAAGCGGGACAGGACACGGCCGGGCCGGCGGCGGCGCCCCGCAATTTGTTCCAATGGGTGGCTGTTAGCAAGCTGGCAATTTGAGCCGGCTGGGTGTTATTTAGTGCGATATGAAATCAAATGATCCTATTTCCCAAATAACAGCCTCCGTGAGGAGACGCGGACGCCCTGAAAAGGTAATTGTCTCCTGATGACATCCCCACCGCACCGCCGGGCTGGGCGGGCAGGGCCGGGGGGGGGGGTCCCGCTCCGCTCCGCTCCGGTACCGGCCGGGCTGGGGGCTCCGACGGGCTGGGGGGCGGCCTCGGTACCAGCAGCACGATTTCCTCTCCCCACCGCGGCGGGACCCGGAGGGAGCCTTTGGAAAACCCCAATTTGTTGCCGGCGTTGTTCTCGCTGCCCTCTCGGCAGAGCCGTTGCCCGCCACGGCCGAGCACCGAGTCCCCTGCCAGCCCTGACGGGGTGCGCCCCGGGGGCTTTGGGGTTTTGGGCAGCGCTGGGATTGCAGACGGGGACGAGCATCCCCCCTGCCACCCCCCGGCTGCGGCTCCCGGCCCGGTACGCGCTGCCGGGGGGCTGAAGCTGCCAGAAGTAAAGCACCCGAGGGAGAGAACGGGGGAGAGGAAGAGAGAAATAATAATAATAATAATAATAATAAAATTTTAAAAAGGCGAGCACGGAAAGAGGAGGAGAAGCCGGCGGGACCTACCTGACTCCGCTGCCCGCCCGGATTTTCCTTTTCTTCCCCATCTCGTTGGCGGCAGGCAGCGGCGTGGGGATTGCAGCGGGCGGCTCCGCTGCCCCGGGGCCGGCGGGGCCGAAGGAGAGCCGGAGGTTGGCAGCAAGTCCCGAAACTGCGGGTGGAGGCTGCTTCCTTTGGGTGCTCGCTGGGGGTTGGGGGTCGGTTGGTTGCTTGCTTTTCTTTCTTTTCCTTTTTTTTTTTTTTAATTATTATTTTTTTGGTTAAATGTATATATATATATTTAAAGAAAAAGCCTTTGCCTAGCTCAGCCCCTTCTCTTGCTGCCGGTGCCGGGTTCGGCGGGCCTGAGGGAGGCCGCAGGACGCAGCGCCGGAGTCCCGGGGGGCGGGGGGGCCGCAGCTCCGCGCTGCTGGCTCGGCTGCCCGAGGCGCCGCGAGGTTCCCGTGCGGGGAAGGGAGCCGCGGAATTGCAACAGAGCCATCGGGGGTGCCCCCGGCTGCCTGCGCGTCCCCTCCCCTCGGCGCTGCGGGGGGAAGCGGCGCGGCTGTGTGTCCGTACGCCTGCCTGTCTGTCTGTCTGTCTGCCCGGCAGACAACCGCGGAGTCCGCGGGCTTTGCAGCCGGGGAGCGGTTATGGACTTCCCTTGCACTTCTTTTTTTTTTTGTCTGGTTCCGTGCGTTCTTTTATTAAAAAATTAATTTAAAAAAAAAAAAAAAAAAAAAAAGCGCATAATCCCTGTAGGAGAATAGGTAGCTTTGTGAAAGAGTTGCCTTCCCTTTTAAGTCCGTTTGGGGAAAAAAAAAAAAAAAAAAAAAAAAGGGAGAAATGTAATCCTAAAATACGCGAGTAGAGGGACTCAGAATAAGCCAGAGGCTGACTTGCATGTGAGCTCTGGGTTCGTTTTTCTGCTAAAACCTGCTGAGCAGGGTATATTTACTGACCGAGAATAAAGGCTTGCTCGTGGAAAAGTTTTTGGACTGCTGCAGTTGCCATTGCTGCTCGGGAGACAAGGACCGGCCTGTCAGTATTTAGCAGGCAAGCCCCAGCCACAGTGGGTGCTGAGAGCCCCGCTCAGGTGCCCCAGTTCCCCCTGTCCCTGTCCCATCCTGTCAGGGACAGGCTGCCTCGGGACCACTGGCCTGTGCCCAGTGCTTGCTGTGTGCTTCTAGCAACGGGCGAAGCGCTTGGGACCTCCAGCCTGAAAGTCAGCCCAGCGAGACAGACCCTTGCTATTCATGCATCCTACCTGGTTACCCGATTTACATCAGTGTTTACCCAAAAGTAGAGCTGAAGCCAATTTTAGAGTACTCTCTAAATGCACCGTTGGAATATTCTCCATCTGTTCTCAAGCCTTTTTGAGAGCTCCTGCTTCAGGTTCTTATTTTATATTTGACGTGATTATTTACTGTTGCATATACTAAATGGAGTGCAGAGGGCAGGGCCCAGTGATGCTTAGCTCTGAGCAGACACAATTTAATTAATTTAATAGTCTTATGCTTGTTCTCCTGCTTTTCAAATGAATGAATGGTTTATACACATGGTTGATTTCATTCATCGCCACAATAATCTTCTACATAGGACAGAGGAGAAAATAATAAATCACAGAAAAGCAGCACAGCACTTTGGGACGGGAAGTGAAAAATACTATGTCCTCTTGAAACTAGATTTCAAAGGAAGAAAATAGAGAAACAGCATATAGCTGTCACCTTGAGTGGCATGCAGGCTGGCTCTGCTGGAAAGCACGCCAGCTTCTCTGGCTGTTCCTAGGGTCAGGATGCCCGCTTCCAAACCTCATGCAGAAGTAAAAATTAAGTGGAGACAGTGACCAAATGGTCACTGGAAATTAGTTCAGAATGAAACATAATTCCAGCTCGACGGAACAGATTTTCCATGAATGCTGCTGTGGCTATTTTGCTGATCTGCTCGCTTTCTGTTTTACAGAGACACTGATGACTCGCAAACAATCCTGCTGAAATAGAAACATCTTTAAGAGGGTTTAAATATTTTGTTTTATGGTAGTGAGGGATCCTCAGGAGGCTCTCTGTTTGTAAACGTGTGTGTAAAGAGGAGCACCTCGCTACCTGTGGCAAGGGCTAGGAACAGCCACAGAATCTGGCTTCCCTCACCCCAAATGCCACTAAACTGCAAGACTCATCCAAGTGCTTCCCTTTGTTTCAAACCCTTGTAGCTTGGAGCACTTGTTGAACCTGATGACAAGTGCATCAAAGTGGCTGACAATTACGAAATAAACAAATATCATTTGAGGCATTTTTGAGCAGAATCCAGTAATACATAGATTAGCTTATTGATGTCGTTATCATGTCGAATATTATTCATACTTCTGATATTTCTGCTGTGCAGTAGCATTCCGTGCTCAGTAAAGATCACATTATCTCGCTATGCAAAAGGCTTCATTAATCAAAACAGACAATAGGCCAGACATTCTCCCTTTGAGTCTAGGATTTTGGATCCTCCAGTCTTTTTACCTTGTCTAAATGCCTCGTCCCTGTCAACATGGAAAGCAACTCTACAAAACCGATCACTCTAAAATGCGGTGCTAAAAGGAAAACATCTAACTCAAAAGAATTTCTCAGTTATTTTATATCTTCCTTTTAGCATTTCATGATTTGTGGAGAAAAACTTCCTCAGTATTTCATTCAGTGCATCAGATCAATGCACTCACTTGTTAAAATACTAACAAAAGAGCCCAATGCATCTTTGTCCTGTAGAATAGCGGGTGCAGCACCTGCTAGATCAAGGATTGAGGACCTTGCTAGCTGTGCCTTGGCAGCAACCCCTCGGTGGTGAAGCGCAGCCTTCAGGTCACTGCTTCCAGAGGGAGGATCCTGGCAAAAATGTGGCATGGCCCTGCCTTGGCACAAAGGACCAAGCTCTGAAGGAGCAGTGGGATGCTTCCACTTTGCCTGGTTGCCCCATGAATGGGCAGCTACAAACGCCAGCCCGCATGCAAAGGAGGCAGGGAGGTGCTCGGGCACAGGTTGATTCATTTACAGAGTTTGGAGATGTTGGGTTGCACTTGCCATGGCTGGTGATCTCCATCTGCAGGATTTGACAAGGTTCAGCCCTGGTGGCTGTGGTCATGGTCTGTGCTGTGTGGTCGTGGAGGGTCCAGCCGCAGTCTGTGAGGAGGAGCAGCACAACTAGCTTTGCACCTCTGCTCCTGCAGTGACCCCAGCAAGCATAAAATGGCCTTTCCTGCAGAAATACAGCACAACCCTTTCAGTTGGAGCAACGGAGGTTAAAGTAGTGGTTGCACAGGGTACTCTGCAGCATGAGGCAGGCAGATGATTTAAGATAAGACAGGAGTCAAGCCCTTTGATGGCTTGCTCTGAGTAGCCTAGCTCAAATTCAGCCTCTTGTCTCACTTCTCAGAAAACCTAAATCCAGTTCTCGTTTCTCCAGAGACAGGGAAACTCAGTGCCGTCAATCTACTCATTCCTCTTCAGACAACAACAGATATTTAAACAGAGACTAGAAGCTGCTGGTTAATTCATGTCTACATCTTAGAAACTGCGGTGACTTTGAATTATTGGGAAAGCAGAGAGACCTAAAACCTCCCAGAAATCCTCTCCAGACTCATGGCCTTGCAAGAAACAGAGAAGAGTCAGGTCATACATGAGCTCTCCTGGTCTTAGAGCTTCCCATGCTGTGGAGGAGACTCAAAAAGCACTTTGAGATGGCTGCGGACAGGGGGATTTCCCAGCAAGGGGCCTCTAAACTGGTCCCCTTCCCATGGCATGGCGTTTCTCACTCATTAACAACACGGCGGTGTAAACAGTGGTGTGTGCTTGTATCTAAATTCTACAGGATTAATTCTGAATTCACTGACAATGGCATTACTAGAGACTTTTCAATGATTTCAACAGGCTTTGGATAAGGCCCTTACATTCTTAATAAACATTATATGGCTTTAAATGCTGTATTCTTGTTCTTAAGTTTGTATTTAATCATTTATTATCAGTGGCTCCTGTGTTAACAAGTTCTTGCTGGAGAAACTCATTTCACCTGTCCTGTCGACAGCAAACACTGCATTCTTCAGTAAGACAATGTATTTTCTATTTATGCATCAGACACAAGTAATAATAGGTTTCAAGGAACTGTAACATTTAATAAAAGCATTTTATTACATTTAAATTTATTAAAATTTAAACATTAAATTCAACATGTTAATTACTGCTTCCATGCATTGACACTGACAGTCAGAAATGGATCCACATAACTGCTCTGCTGAGATATGTTCACTGGTGCTATTTGCTCTTTGATTGCTAATGTATTATTAGTGCTCTTCATTTGGGACTTGATTCATTAACAAAAAGACTTATATGGGCATTATGCAAATTTTTGTATGTCTTTTACATAGCTACCAGGGCATGTATTATGAATCTAATTGAAAAAAAAAAAAAAAAAGAAAATGTATTCAGTTATGTCCTGGCTTGTGGGCAAGCTGCAGCTAAATGTACAGCTGCTCTCCAAACCAAATAAGAGCATAGAGGAAAAGCCTCTTTTCAGTATATCACAGCCTGGGCTTCTGCAAATCCCCTCCCGGTGAAATTGCACAGCCCCTCCAGACTGCTGTGTTTTGACAGAAATAAAATGGTGGCAGAGAACTGAGATTAATTTTTCAGGCTCTGTTACGTGTATCATCTGTGTATATTCTGTATACATCAGTGTTCCGGGATGACCACCCTTTTGTTTTTAACGAATGATTTATCTTAATGCTTTTGAAGTTGTGATTTGGTTTATTCTATTCTAGCAATATCTGCATTCCTCACAGTAAGTGAAAATACACAGAGGGCCCTTAATCTGTAAAGCCTCCTCGCTGTCATTAGAGCAGTCGTGCCGAGGGCCGTGTCTGTTGGGAGGCAGTGTCCCAAGGCACCCTACGGGAGGATGCCAACAACTTCTGGTTGTGCAAGCAGCTTTCTGTCCTTCCCAGACCTAGTGGCATCTCGGACCTCTCTGACCTTCTCCAGCTGGCCCTAAGCCTTTTGCTGGACGAGCTGCCTCTGGAGGGATGTCTCTGGAGGCGTGTGCTTATCATCTGTCCCTTGTCTTTTTTTTCATTTTTCCCCTACAAAAATACCCTCTCTTTTACTTCCTTCTTCCTCGTTTTCTCTCATTCCTTTCTTCTCCTCAAGGTAGGCCACCCCACAGCCAGATGCTCACCACGATGAGGCAAATTCTGCACTTTGCAGGGTACTGTTAAATCTCCAGAGGAAAGCAGGACACCAAAAGCACACATTGTTTCTTCCCTCAATTAAAAACGATGTGTTGAACTGTAAGATTAGTGCACATCAATCCCTTCTTCATTTGAATTGAGAGGTACCTTCATTTGGCAGCTATTGAGGAAAAACATAATTTCATTCAAAGTGCATTTAATAAGACAGAACAAGACAGATTTCTTTGACAGTTGTACAGCTCTTATCAGATTACATTAAAATTAAATTAAAACAATCTAAAAGAAGTGTTAAGTACTAAAGGAAGAACACAAACAAAACACTCCTCTTTGTAGGCTTTCAGGGACGGGGTACTGATGTTAGTTATCAGGGATATGAGTAATAAGATTACTCATCAGTCAATTATGAGCCCATCAGTGTCAGCATGAAGGATTTCATCACAGACCTGGCTCTGTAACACCTCA